ACCGTCTCCAGGTGCTCCTCAGCTCATCCCCCTCCATACCGAGGATAAAGGTGTGTGTCATGGCTACCATCACTGTATTGATTTTTGCAACCTTCCCATCCTTGACAAGTCCTTTCAAGTCATGGAGGAACCGGCCTCCTCAGTGTCTACTTCCTGATGCCATTCATTCACACTTGGTGACATTATCCCGAGCCCAAGTACGGCGCTTGATGCAATCACAGATGCTGTAATTCTTTCAGAATTACATATGTGTGTTCTATACCACTTCATCCTTAGCCAGCATAGCAATTCTTCCGTGTGTGGGGGTGGGGGTAGTGTACATCCCGGCGATTGAACTCATGGATTGCTGAGGTACTTCACCAGGCCTGAGTTTCTTTTTTTCTTTCCTTAGTTATTTTTTTTTTTGAGACAGGATCTCAAATTGCTCAGGCTGGTCTCCAATTTGTGGTCCTCTTGCCCCACCTCCTGAGTCACCAGAATTACAGGCGGGTGCCATCACACCTGGCTCCATAATAATGATTCTTGAATATTTTCATTTCTATATTACTATTATTAGTATTATTATTAATTTGTGATATTAGGTTAGAACCCAGGGTTTCACACATTCTAGGTGAGTTCTCTATCACTGAGCTACATCCCCAGCTTTTTTTTATTTTTTGAGAGAGCAACTCTTTAAGTTACAAAAGCTGGCTTTTTTTCTTTTTTTTTTTTGTCTTTTTGAGACAGGGTCTCACTATGCAGTTCAGGCTGGCCTTGAGCTCACTTTGTAGCCAAGGCTTATCTCAAACTCACAACGATCCTCCCGCCTCAGCCTCCCAAGTGCTGGGATTACAGGCACATGCCCTCACATCTGACTTGGTTTTTATTTCTGCAGACTTGGGGATCAATCTCGGGATTTCATACATGATAGGTGAGCATTCTACCCCTGAGCTACACTCCAAGCCCTTAACCTTTTAAACTACTCAAAGCTATGTTGTACATAAATATAACATTGTACATAGTCAGATCCAACCTTTTCTTTCTTTTTTAAGACAGGGTCTTGCTATGTTGCCCAACATGGCTACAAACCCCTGAGCTCAAGTGATCCTCCTGCTTCAGCCTCACCAGTAGCTGGGATACAGGCATGTGCCACCCTGCCTGGTTTCCTAATGACTTTTAATTTCATGTCCAGGTCCATCACCTGATGCAGTCTCCAAACAGCAACAGTTGCAATGGATTTTGCATGGTTAGGGGCCTTAAAGAACAAACTAATGCAAGACAAAGTTACAGAGAAGAAAAATGATGCGATTCAGAGACGTGGTGCCAGTGTGGAGGCAGGGGACACTGAAAATTTGAGGCTGGCCAGAACAACTTAGCAAGATCCTGCCTCAAAAAAATACATTATTTTTAAGGTTTGGGACTGTAGCTCACTGATAGAGCACTTGCCTAGCATTCAAGAGGCTTAGGTTCAAACCCCGGTCCTGGAAAAAGAGAGGGAGAGAGATGGGGGAGAGAGAAGAGAGAAGGAGATGTGGCTGCTGCTATGTAACACGGCAAACTGTTTACAGGAAACTTTTTTATAAGTAGCTGTATACTCTAAAATAATGAAAGAATAATATAATAAATACCTAAACCAATGCCATAATTTTTTATTATCATTGTCAAGTGTTATGTAGGGTACATCACTGTATGTGCCACACACTTATGTGGCAGCACAATAGGTGTGTTTACACCAGCACCCACAAATACTAAAATGCTGTGTTACAATATTGTAATGGCTATGAAATCACTAGGCGGTAGGAAATTTTCAGCTCTATTATAAGGTTTTTTGGGTTTTTTTGTTTTTGTTTTTTTTTTTTGGTCTTTTTGAGATAAGAGTTTCACTCTGTAATGCGAGCTGGTCTTGAACTCACTATGTAGCCCTGGCTGGCCTCAAATTCATGGTGATTCCCCCTGCCTCACCCTCCCGAGTACTGAGATTATAGGTGTGCGCCACCACACCCGGCTCCATTATAATCTTACAAGATAATCATAGTATATGTGATCTGTTGTTGACTGAAATATTATTACAATGACTACTATGTTATTATAATCTTATTATCATCATCATCAAGACCATTTGTATCATTCTTTATGTTAAAATTGCAGCTGGTACTCTATCCATCCCTGAGGAGATCGTGCTGAGACTAGGAGAACGGCTCGCTTGTACAGCACTTGCCTAGCATGCCCAAGGTCCGGGGTTCAACCTCCAGGACTAGGGAGAAGAAGGTTCTTCCTACAAAAATAATGATCAATAACTATTTTACTTTTCTAAAATATCACTTCCATACTTTCTCAACATATACAGCTTACATGGTATTCTTTTATGAAGTTCCTATAGGTGCTGCTACAGAATCTTACACTCCATGGCTACTTAAAAAGTGATTTATGATGGCATAGTGGCATACGCATGTAATCCCAGAACTTGGAGCCTGAGGCAAGAGGATCACTGCAAATTCAGGGTGAGCCTAGGCTACAGAGTGAGATTAAATCCAGCCTGAACTACATAGCCTGATCCTGTTTGGTTTTTTTTTTTATTAAAAAAAAAAAAAAAAGGCCAGGCATGGGGGTGCTTGCCTGTAATCCCAGCACTCAGGAGGCTGAGGCAGGAGGGTCACTGTGAGTTCAAGACCAGCCTGGGGTACAAAGTGAGATCAAGGCCACCCTGAACTGCATGGTGAGACCCTGTCTCAAAAAGATGAAAAATATAAATAAATAAAAATAAAAAAATTTTTAAAAGTGACTTACAACTGGCTTAAATTTCTGCAAAATGAGAAGGGAACTAATATCCCAGCACTGCTTCCTACCCAATCAGTTGGTGTCGCTGGGCTTGAGAACATGAGGTTCTGTCACCAGACACAGAGGTCTAAAGGTGTACTTCTGTGAGGTGACGATTGCTCTCTCTCTCTCTCTCTCTCTCTCTCTCTCTCTATATATATATATATATATATATATATATATGCACTCATACACACACATACACATATATACATATTTGTAAGTGAAAAGGATAGAAAAAATAGAATAAAAGTCTGAATTGCTAACTGTCTTTTTACACCACTCCCAAATACACACTGAGCTATCTGAAGGCAGGCAGGGATCCTGGCCATCATTACTGGTCCTCAAATGCTCTGCCATCTTCTAGCATACAACTAAAGTAAACTTATTTATTATTTTATTTTATTTTCCTTTATTTTGTTTTTGAGACAGGGTCTCACTATGCAGTTCAGGCTGGCTTTGAACTCACTATGTAGCCCTGCCTGACCTCAAACTCACAGTGATCTTCCTGCCTCAGCCTCCCAGTTGCTGGAATTATAGGTGTGCACCAGCATGCCCAGTGGGTGCTGAGGATGAGACCCAGCCCCTTTTACTTTTTTGAGACAGGGTTTTACTAAATCACTAAACTACCCAGGCTGGGATCAAACTTGTGATCTTCCCGCTTTAGCTTTTCAGAGTACTAGGATTACAGGTATGTGCCACCACACCTGGTTTTCTTTCTAGTTTATTTTTTCAGACAGGGTCTTGCTGTGTAATTCAGGCTGATGTTGAACTCAATATGTAGCCCAGGCTGGCCTTGAACTCTTGGTGATCCTCCTGCCTCAGCCTTACAAGTGCTGGGATTATAGGCTTGCACTGAAGCACCCAGCCTTTTAGTTTTGAAAACACCAGGTCTTTTCTTTCTTTCTTTCTTTCTTTTTTTTTTTTTGGTCTTTTTTGAGACAGGGTCTCAGTGTGCAGTTCAGGCTGTCCTTGAGCTCATTTTATAGCTCAGGCTGGTCTCGAATTTACAACGATCCTCCTGCCTCAGCCTCCTGAGTGCTGGGATTACAGGTATGCACCACCCAGGAGTTTTCTTGAGAAGGTCTCACTGTGTAGTTCAGGCTGGCATCAAAAAAGCTAAAATCAAACCTGTAATTCTCCTGCCTCAGCCTCCCAGAATGCTGAGGTTACAGATGTGTACCACCTGGTTCTACTTCAGAGCCTTATGATAGTGTTAAGTACCTGGGGGGAAAACAAACAAACTTCAAAACCCGGCATGATAACACACACCTATAATCCCAGCATTTGGGAGGCTGAGGCAAAAGGATCGCCATGAGTTTGAGGCCAGCCTTGGATGACGGAGGGAGACTTTGTATCAAAAAAAAAAAAAAATTGTACAGCAAAAAGATTACATTTAACACGGAATTTCAGAGCTTTTTTTTGGTGTGGGGGGGAGCAGTGCTAGAGGTTGAACCCAGGGTCTTGCACGTGCCAGGCAAATAGGTAAGGGGTTTGCCACTGAGCCACATGCCAGCCCTAAGATTTTTGTCTTTTTGTAGAATTGGTGTCTCCAAAGTAAAGGTTCTTAGACCCAGACTGATTTAACGCAGTACAAACTTGAAGACCCCTTTCTGATCCTTACTCAAATGAACTACTTTCTTCTGAGTTCTTTAAAAAGCTCAGAAGCACTCAACCTGTTTGTCTTCCTAGCCTGTCTCTGGGCTCCAGGAGGAAGAAGCTAGGTCCTCCCTAGTGCCTAGCATAGAGCTTCGTATTTTAAAAAAAAAAAAATCAGCAAATGGTGAATAAAAGAAAAGGGGTCATGGGGCTGGGGATTTAGCTCAGCGGCACAGCGCCTGCCTGGCAAGCGCAAAGTCATGAGTTCGATTCCGGTACCGGAAAAAAAACAAAAAACCAAAAAAAAAAAAAAAAAAGGAGAAAAGGGGTCACGGTCACGTCTTGCCTTCTGGCTGAATGAATGACTCTGAGGAGCACACCCATCTTCCATGCTTCCTTCCTTTGCTTGGGTTGCTGGAGCTGTTCACTGAACCAAGAAGACAACCTGAGCCAAGGTGCCAGGCGTCACACAGAAGCCTGCCGGATGATTCCGCTTGATCAGGCTGAGGCAGGAAAAAGCTGGGGTCTGAGAGCAGAGGGGAGGTGGCAGACACACACTGGAAGGTTAGAAAAATGAAACTAAACCTGGGAAGGACATGAGAACAATGACTAGCCTGATGAAAGGTAGAAGGTCGGAATGGGGAGAAGAGGTTTCTTCAGAAACCGAACATGGGGACAGGCTCCATGAGAAGCATCCGTCTTTGTGGTAACCAAAAGCACTGTGCGCAGCCTGGGGTTTCGAGTTTGTGGAGGAGACAGTCCTGCTAGGAGACTGGAGAGGTAGTCAGACTTGGAAACCATCTGAAGATTGTGTTAAGGACAGTACCGGAAAGCCGTTGGAGCTTTTTTGTTTGTTTGTTTGTTTTTGCCTTTTTGAGAAAGGGTTTTACTTTGCAGTTCAGGCTGGCCTTGAATTCACTTTGTGTAGCCCGGGTGGGCCTCGAACTCACAAGAATCCTCCCGCCTCAGCCTCCCGAGTGCTGGGATTACAGGCGTGCACCACCACGCCCAGCTTGTTGTAGGTTTTAAAGCGACCAGATTTACATTTTAAAGATAATTCATCAGCTGTGCTAATAGTGGGTCGGATGGGGGCAATGCGAACGCAGGGAGATTCGCTGAGGGTCTATAGCAGAAGGCTTGTTGAGACGGGACAGTGGATTATCCTTGTAGGATAGGAAAGGGGTGACTGGAGAGATACGTAGGGTTCATCAACGAGCTTGGACTTTATTCTGAAGGGATAAAAGGGGAAGGCGGGTAATATTTTAACCGTGGGATTGATCCATTCGGATATGGATTTATAAACAGCGCCCCTGGCAGAAGGCGGCAAGGCTGTCGGAATAGTGCACAGCAGAGGCGAGGCTTAGACGGTGAACTGGTTGGCACAGCCTTCGCGGGGAAGCGGAGGAGCCCGCGGAGAGGCTTCGAGTCGGGTACGAAGCGGCACCGCCGGACGCAGAAGCGGGCGCCGCCGCAGACCCGCGCGCCGCGGCCGG